CTCAGCTATTATCTCCTTCATTGGATTTTATTTTTTGAAACTTAGTCTCTCTATGTTGTTCAGGCTGGCTTCAAAGTCCTAGGTTCAAACAAATCTTCTAGCTCAGACTCCTGGTAGCTGGACTACAGGCACATGCGCCTCTGGTGAATTTTGGTAAGTCTTACCTTTTAAAACAAAAATTCCTAAGTATCCTAGGAAAATATTTTATGCTTATTCCAGATCTTTAAAAAGCAGTTTAGACATCAAGTCTAGCTAATCATTATGGAAATGGAATTCACAATAAATTCCATTTCACATCCATTAGGGTGGCTACAATTGAAAAAACAAAACAAGACCCCAGAAAACAATAAGCCCTGTGCCGTAGATGGCATGTATCTACCATCTAAGCGACTTGGGAAGTTGGGGCTACATAGCTAGACTCCCACTTCAAACGAAACAAAGGAAGACAACAAACGTTGGCGATGGTGTGGAGAGATGAGAACACTTGTACATTGTGAGCACAGATCTCAAACAGTTTGACTCCTGTGCAAAGCAGCGTGGAGATTCGTCCAAAAATTAAACCTGGCTTGACCACACAACCCAGCAATTCTAGCTCTGAGCATGCAACCAAAAGAACTTGCAGAATATTTGGAAGCACACAGGAAGCAGAAACCTTCCTGGGATACTTGCTCATTAGACCTCACAGCAGGGCTCTTCACAACTGCCCGAAGTTGGGAGCAGCTCAGAAGTCCACCGATAAGTAAATAGACCTGGGAAATGTGACGTAGACATGCACGTGATATTCAGCCTGAAAATGAAACTCTGCCATGTGATACAACATGACTGAACTCCAAAGACATTGTGCTAAGTGAAAATAGGGCAAGCCCAGAAAGATGAGCATCATCTGGTTCCACTTTGCATGAAAACAGAGTCCTCAGTGCACAGGAAAACGAAGAGGTTGCTTTGGTTCAGGGTGGTGGGTGTTTGCTGTTTATAGGGCATTTGCTGTTTACAGGGTGTTTGCTGTTTACACCTCAGAAAGATGAAGCTGTTTGTGGGATGGTGGCAACATGGTGGAAAACAATGTAAATGATCATTAAAGAATACTTTGTATTTATTCTTTGAAAGTTTCACACACATTTGCAATTTAATTATATCCCCCAACTTTCTCCTCCAAATTTTCTCAGTACTCCCCTAACACATCTCCGTCCCAACTTTAGACTCCTATTATTATTATTATTATTATTATCATCATCATCATCATCATCATCATCATCATCATTGTCATCATCATCATCCCAGAGTCCAATTGATGCTACCCATATGCACATGGTTCGGGATTATCCACTGGGGAATGTGCCACCTGCCAGTAGACACACCCAAAGGAAAGAGATCCCCTCTTCCCCCAGCAGCTATCAGCCAGTAGCCCCTCAGCTGGGATGGGACCCCTATATCCCCTTCCCCATCCACACTGGAGTTTTAAACTCCCCATGTTAAAGTACATTCTGGATAACAGAAAGGGAACTGAACACTAGAATAGAAAGACCAAGGGCTGGAGAGATGGCTCAGTGGTTAAGAGCACGCTCTTGGGGAGGACCTGAGTTCAGCTCCCAGCAGCCACGCCAGGGAGCTCAACACCACCTATACACCAGCTCAAAGAATTCTGATGCTTTCTTCTTCTGGCCTCTGTGACACTCGCATGCGTGTGGTGCACAAACAGACACGCACACACATACAGACAAATAAAAATAAATAATCTTTAACGGGAAAATAATCCACAATTTAGTAACACCAGAAAGCAGCTACCACTTCTAATCATGAAAGAATCATATGGAGAGGTCAGTGCCACTGCCAAGGTCAGGAGCCTCTGCATGGCCTGGAGAGTCAGCTGTTGGTTGCTTTCTTTTCCACTTGCTCTTACAATACTGATCTTTCACCCGTGGTTCCTTTCCCACCCTGTGATGGTGTGTGCTTTAGGGTGGGTGTGCACTGCCATAGTGAGGATGAAACCCAGGGCCTTCCCATGCTAGGGGAGCTCTCTATCACTGAGCTACACCCCCAGGCTTGGTACACATCCTTCCAGGTTATGGTCTGTGAGTAATAACTCCTCTTGAGGTGATGCTTTAAAATGCATTCATTCTACCATCATTCCTGAAGGATAGTTGTGTTGGGTATCATATCCCAGGAACCAGTTCTTCTCCTACATTATCTAAAAACACCATTCCTTCTGAGTTGTAATACAGATGGAAGTTAATCTAGGAATCACCACCTGGCAACTGTTTGAAGGCAGACTGCCTTTCTTCCCTTGTAAAAATCTTTAAGATTTTCCTTTTTCTAGCTTTTATCTAATTAATAATGTTATTTCTGTTGTTATATTGTTTTTCTTTTTGCTCACCGTGCTTGGGTGTAGCACAACACCTGGTAAACACACTACAATTTGCAAGCCAGGCAAGAGGCTGGAGATTGGAGCACACACACAGACAGAGACATGGGTCATCCTTGAATCAAGAATGTTAATTTTATTGTGTTCCAGGGCAGTTTATATAGGATCTCCTTGACTAATGGCCACGCCCTAACTCTCAGCTGCAAGCTCACCAGAAACCACTCCCCTGTCTCGTGCTCAGAGCAACTGCAAACACAGGAAAACAAGTTGTTTGCTCAGAGCAGCTACAAGCATAGGAAAACAGCTGTTTACAGAAAATTCAGGGTTTAGGGGTCCACAGTTCCCAACACTCGGGGTTCACCAGACCTCTGATTTGTATGTCAATGCCTTTGTCACATTGGAGGGATCTGCGACCTTGTGTGTTCAGGTTGGCCTCTGTATCCTCACCCTTCTCTGTGGTTCTTTGATCAAACTATGACTTTTGTTTAAATATCACTCATATCTTTGTGTTTACTATGTTTTCTATGTGTTCCCCCTCTATGAACTCTGTCAGGGACACCTTCCAGCTGTCTTCCTGCCCACCCTATTTCTTTTTTTTTTTTTCCGCTGCAATCAGTCTCTGACAAGGATATCCATTGCCCCTTTGATTTCAGAAATATGTTTTCACCTCTAGACTCTGCATGGCTCTTACTCAAATACAGACTGTCATTTTAAAGATGTGTAATACATTATTAATTCTTTGAGCATTCCATGCATGCACATGGTGTATTTTGATCGTATTCACACGCCCCACTTCTCTGTGTAACTCCCCACAGACCTACCTCTGTCCCTTCCCCACCTGGTCCCTACTTCAAGCCTCCTTCTCCTTCTCATTGAGTCCAATTTGTGTTGCCCAGATACTTGGGTGTGGCAACATCTGGAGCATGGTAGACCTAACAGGAACCACATTCTTAAAACTAGCTCTCTCCCCCGTCCAGCAGACATTAACTGTCAGTAGTTCCTCAAGTGTGGGTGGGTGTTCATGAGCCCCCCCCTTCTCGCTTTCAAGATACGAAATTATTCTTGGGTTCCCAGAATTCTATAATTTACTTTATTCCCATTATGTGAAATCTAAGTCTGTTTCTCCTGGCTTGAATTCAAGCTGCTTTGGATCTCAAGTTCCCGATTACCATGGCCAATGTCATTTGCTGACCTTGAATGATGACTTCTGGGCTTCCTGAAGTCTGGGTGGTGGCAGGCTTGTGTGAAGCCATTTGTCCATTTCTCCTAGAGCCCTGGGAAGCCCGCTGCTTGAAGACTACATTGAATTGGTTTGAAGTGTGATGTCTCTTGATCAACCCAGCTTTGCCTGCCGAGACAGCGAGCACACACAGCCTTGTCATCACGTGCTAGTGGCACAGGTGCTCTTTGCCACTCCTTCCTTTTATCATTCAGTACACATGTCCCAGCATGGCTATTTCTCCTTGCAGTAAATGCTCAGCCACGTGAGGTCTCAGTGAGACAGGGACAGGATCTCCTCTAGGTCTGACCGGCTCAGGGAGGCCATAGATACTGACTCCTTCCCAGGAAAGCTTCTGATGCCCTAGTCTGTGGCACTTATGAACGCCTTTGGGGCCAGTTTTGGCACTCTGCCATCTGTCTCCATATCAGCTTAGATTTTCCTCCACTGCCCTTAAATTTCTCCAGTGTTTCAAAAATTCACGGTTCCCTTTCCACTGTTTTTTTTTTTTTCATTTTGAAACCAGAACATTTATTTTATGACAGATTGAAATCCTCAAGATGAACTGGATGCTGCAACAGCTGCCCTCTTGGGTTTAGGGGCTGTCCCTTCACGGAATCCATGTCTGAATCTTCGGTAGACAATTTTTAGGTGCCTCATCCGCCCGGTCCCGGTAGTGTTTCGTCTCTTAGCCTTGGCACTCCAGTTGTACTTTCTCTTGCGCTTGGCAGGGTAGCCGCATTTGCCACAGGTAGACTTCTGAAGGTGGTAGGCCTTAGAGCCACAGCGGCGGCACAACGTGTGCGTCTTGTTGCGACGCTTTCCGAAGGATGACGTTCCTTTCGTCATCTTGCTTCTGCCGCCAAGGCCAAAGAGACCGGAAGAGAAAGCACTTCCGCTACTTCCTCCCTTTCCACTGTTTTGATGGAAAGTCTGCTGCAGGACACCTGCTCTGCAACAGGAAGCCATGAAGTGCAGAGCAGGTGTATGGAGTCCTATCTTAAATTACAGACAGAGACACGGGAAAAGACAGATGTGGAAGCTGGAGCCTAGCGTGCGCGCACACACACACATACACACACACACACATACACACACACACACACACACACACACACAAAGACAATTTGAAAGAAAAATACATAGCAAGGAAAAAATTAATTCTCTCCCATCTTTAATATTCCCAGAGTGGTAATACACTGAGATCAGAGACTAGGACAACACCTTTTAAAAACACTAAAAATTAGTGTTTCCTCTTTAGTTTTATCCTTCAGTGAACAAAAGATAAGCAAGGATTCTAGTAAATTCACAGCAATAGCAGCGGAACCGAAAGAGTCCTGGAAAATGTTACAATAAAGACGGTCTACCATAGAGTTAAGCAAAAATATGACACAAGGAACCCCAGAGAACTAAATGTTGTGTGAAGTTTTATTCTGTTGGCTTTTGGGGGGCCTCCCATCAGCTCCCATATAAACCACATATGGAGGCTTACTCTTGGTTAGGAACGCTCAGCTTTAGATTGGCATGTTTCTTGCCAGCTTTTCTTAATTTAAATTATCCCCGACTACCTTTGGCCTCTGGACTTTTTCTTTCTCTTACTTCTGTATCTTACTTTCATTGTTACTGCATAGCTGGCTGGGTGACTGACCCCTGATGTGCTCTTCCCCTTGTTCTCGCCTCTTCCTTGTTTCTCCTATTTATCCTCTCTGCCCGTCAGCCCCGCCTATCCTTGTTCCTGCCTTGCTATTGGCCATTCAGCTCTTTATTGGGACCATCAGGTGTTTTAGGCAGGCACAGAATCACAGCTTCACAGAGTTAAACAAATGCAGCATAAACAAAAGCAACACACCTTAACATAATATTCTATAATAAATAAAGCCACATAATTGCCTCATCTGGGAGTATTACTAGGAATGAAAGTTGACTTAGTTTTTAGTCTACATTTATTTTAAAAGGGAAAATAATTTAAAAACTAATTTATTTTTTATTTTACATGTGTAAGCATCTGGTTGTATGTAAGTCTGTGCATCACCTTGAAGGTCAGAACAGGGAAACATACCTTTTGGAAATGAAGTTGCAGATGGTTATGATCTGCCATTATAAGTGCTGGGAATTGAACTTGGGTTCTCTGAAAGAGCAGCCCGTGTCCTTACTTCTAAGCCATCTCTCCACCCCTATATTTACTGCTTAAAAGTTGCTTACAATCAGCATGAAAAGTAGCAGACTTCGTTGTGGCATTTTTATATTTAGGTTGATACATTTGTGGATGGACCCATCTCTTCTACTTCTCTCCCCTTTTAACTTATATGTCAAAAATAATTACCTTCTCCTTACAGTCCCTCAAATCTCCATTTCCCCTCTTCACGGTCTCCTTTCTAGCTTCAGATCCCACGGTGATGTTCTACAGCACACGCGCACATACATAGCCCTGTCAAAGACTGAGGTCTGGGCCTGGGAGGCTAGTCTAGCTGGAGCGGAAGGTTAGGTACACACAAGACCCCAGAAGGACAGAAAATTATCTCTCAAGGACAGGAAGACTAGATCCAGGGCAGCAATGGAGGGCCTCTTTAGGAGCAGAGGATTTCGAGAGGGCATGATGACGGGAGGCTCCTCTGGGAGGCTCCTCTGCAGCTCTGGGGGAGGAGGAAGGGGAGGATAACAGGGGAGAGGAACGAGGCATCTTTCCAGCAGCTGAGGGACGATGCTGGAGTCTGGGAAGTTTCTGGGAATGGATACGAGATTTCAAAGGTAATTCAGGGGATGGATAGGATGTATTCCCTCTGTAGAGGAGGAGGGAGAGTCAGTAACTGAATGGAAGGGAGATGGAGTCCCGAGGTAGAGACAGAGGAGGAAGAGCTGTGGTTCCCACTGCTTTGGATTAGTATGAACATGCTGTAAGCATCATCAACTTGATGTTTACAAAACCCGAAGAGTTAAGAAGGTGTCCTGATTTGGGGGTGTTGCTTGTTCTTCCATCAGCTTGATCGCTTCTGGACCTCAGAGGAAAGGAGGGGTCATCGCCATCCAGAAGCTTCCTTCAGTGATTGACTGCTCATCATGAGGATTTCACGGTGTTCCACAGACAAGGTCCAGAACCTTCTCCCTGCAGAATCCCAGTGGGCTCCCCTGTGGGAGCCTAACATCCACTCCTGACTGGACTAGAAGGAATTTCCAAGACATCTGGCTCCTGTATGGAATTTCCCGCCCTCCCTGCAGCTAGTCTAACTGGGGGCTGTGGTCTGCAGCTGTCTGGCTGCTGCTCAGAGGAAGTGAGGTCTTAGTAGCCACTGCGAGTGGGTTCCCAAGCAGCTTCCTCCCCACACTCTTGGCATTCATGTGGCACGGTTATAAATTATGCCCGGCGTGTTCATTTTCAGTTTGAATGTGCTCTCATCCCAGAGGAGCGACTAATGGCGTCAAGTTACTGATGTGAAAAAAGCCTGCCGCTGCAATGACTCTGGATTAATGAAACAGTCTCGTGGAGGCTGGGGCCGCAATCAATCCTCAGCCACTGGTGACACGCATTTTAAATTGTGTTCTCTGGCCATTTCCCTCTTTGCCAAAATTATTTTGCTCAAATTTTATTGGGTAAATGTTTACCTCTGCTTAAATATTTGCTTTTTATTAAAACTGGATGCATGCAGGGTGCGCTCGTCCTCACACATCACAAGCTGGTCGAGAGGGATTGCAAAGTCCATCAGACTTTCTCTAGGAGGCGTGAAGACAAATCTCTTAATCCAGGATCATCAGTGACTGACAAATTTCATTCAGAAAGTTGGCAAGTACAGCCATCTATTCATGAACTCTGCCCATGGGTCATGGAAGCTATTCCCCCGACTTTCTCTCAGGGTCTTTGCATTTCCCCAGCAAATTTAAAGGGAATGAACAGAGCAACTCTCTCCTGGTTTTCTTTTCTCCAAAATGTAGCAAGTTTATTTTTTATTTGGTGAGAATGACAAAGAGTTCACTGACGGGCTCTGGGATGGTCTAAAAATCTGGATCCTAGTAACAAATTATTCTGGTCTGTTTCTGGAAGGATAGAGAGTAGATTTCATCATATTTGTTAAATGTTCAGTGACATAAAGATGGGTTCAGGGTTGCTATGGTGAACGCCATAGATGACACTATCCTCCCGATCCTTGTGCCTGTGCCCCGCAGTGGGACTGTAGCTGTTTCTACAACAAAGGGAACATGGTTTGAAGCTGGCCTTGAGGTTGGCATTGACCTGTGGGACTAAAGCCAATGTGATGACAGCAGGCTTGAAAAGCCCTGGCCGACTGGGGGTTGACAGACTAACTGTTCTTGGAACCCTCCTGGCATGTGGACACAGCTGGTTAGCCAACCTAAGGAGCTACATCACCTAGCCACTCCGATTCTCCAAGCAACCTACCGATAACTATGTGGAGCCATGATTCCTGGGACAAATCAGAAATGTCCAGCTCAAATTGCTGACCTTCAGCAGTATGAGCTAAACAAAATTAAGTTGAGTCTCTAAGTATTGGGGTTGTTTGTTACACAGTAAAATCTAACTGATACAAGTTCTCCCAGACAGTGTTCATTTTGAGGTCATATGGGTTTTATTTGGCCTTTGTGTTCTCTTTTCCTGTAAAACATCAGAATCATTTAATACATGTTTGTTGAACTGAGTAGAACTGACCTTTCGAAAAAGGCTGAGGTCAAGGTCATCTCAGAGCTACTTAATAAATCTGGGGGTGGGGGTTCCAGTGCATCTGACTTCAGGCTTGTTTCCTCACTCGTGAAACCACCTTGCATGCTACTGTGGTTAGCAGAGACTACGTGTGCCTTACGGATGTGCTGACTGTATGGCAGCTGGGGCATGAGCAGAAGCACCCTTAGGAAAAGGCCTTGGAGCTCGTGGGTGTGCATAAGACATCCTGCACACTTCATTGTTTCCACGGCCAGTGGTTGTTTAGCAGGCGAACCCCGGCTTCCATGTCAGTTTTCTCTGTCATGAAGGTAAGACCTGTTCCTTCAAGCTCAGTAAGACAACTGTATGTCATTCTGACAGTGTCGGACTGCCTCCCTCCCTCTGAGGGTCGCCATTCTGGGTTGTGCATTCATCCCCTGCATCTGTATCCCTATAACATAGGTGAGGATGGAGGCCTGCTATCTAAGGCCCATGTCATCTGCCACAACCCACCGGCCTGATTTACTACCAGAATCTCACTGAAACATGAAGGACCACACTGCTTCCGGGACCAGGGAACCATACAAGGCTCAACTTTTTTTGGACAAGGAAAATATTTTTGCTATTTATCTAAAGCAGAAAGACTGAGACACAGGCCAAAGGGTTGGAAAATAGAAAAGACAACAATAACAGAGGAAGCCAGTCAATTTGAACAGTGGTGAGAACACAGTTTACTGGAGGGCAATAGAGTTTTCTGCTCTGCCCATTAACACACCGAGCCACAGATTCAAGCAATTACAGAAAAAAAAGTTCAAGAAAATAATAATATACACAAAGAATTATAAAATGCTCACAAGGTTTACACAAAGAGCTGAGTTCCATATCTTTTTCTTTTTGTGAGAGGCTTACATACCTTTTCTGGTAATGTCTGAAATGACCTAGAACTGGGCTTTGAGATAGACTCCTGGGTTGGGGAGGTATTCAGAAAGAAAGAAATGTGTGTAGTTATTTATCACAGAGGAGTAAATACAACACCTCAAACTTCTGCTTCTTCACCAAAGATTCAGAACAGATAAAAGAATCTTCGGCAAAAAGAATGAGGTCAGAGGCAACATGGGGCCTCATTTCAGGGTGTACTACAGAGCCATGATGGCAGAAGCAGTGTGGTCATAGAGTAATAAGAGATACAAGGACCAGTGGGACAGAACAGAGAGCCCAGAAGTTGGCTCGCACAT